GATCATTGTCCAACGTAACAAAATAGGATACTTTCGTTTTAAAAGCGAGGATGTTGTTTTGATGATGGTGTTAATGTCAACAAAGGCAATTAAACAACCATTATTTCAACATTTGCAAAAGCAACGTAAAGAGAAGTGCAGAAATAAATACATTAGCGAGTGAGGTTGTTTGAAGGTTACTTGTGCTCCGTACTTTCGGACCGTCTGTCTTCGAAATAATTTTAATATTACCTTATCTGCTTGACTAATTACCTTTTAGTGCTAGTTTATGCGCGTTTAAGATGTAACTAGTTGCCAAGGCATTGGCTTCGGCGCCGGGGTAAATGGGTTCAATTCCCACAGGGGACAACTACTTGCGCAACACACAGATAAATGTTACCGATCTGGGTGTTTTTCCAGTTGAAATTTTTGTTTAATATCTTCACAACACAATAAAAAAACGTTTTTTTTTTTTTTTAAACAAAGAATAAAATTGTGATGTTTACAATTTTGCTTGACAAGTATTCTAGTTTTTTGTGGCCGTTAATTTTTAAAGGTTCAAGTTGCAGGTTTATTAAAAATCAGTTTGCTTATTGCCCAGGTATATTTACAGTTTTTAATTAACAACGAGATATATATTACATTACAAATATAAACATTTTACATAACTAAGTAATTGTACAGTTTTTAACGTTTGCAAGTATCGGTAAAAATCAAATTCCCGTTCTAAGAAATAGAACTGAAGATTTTTAAATGTAAATCCATGAAGGAAAATTATGTAATTCAAGAGACACAAAGATTCAAACAAGGACAATATTCAAAATGGCCTTAGCACCCTTTTACGCAGAATATTGTTATGAATAAAACACACGTGCCCGACCTCTGAGCAGATTATTAAACCAATCACGTCCCTCGACAGTCAATTTACTAAGCTCGAACCCGCCATCTTGAATTCCGTATCATTTTTTATTCCGTGAATGTTAGCCACCGTAGCCGAGTTTTTCGATGGCTTATGATTAGCTGAAACGCCAACGAAATCGTTTGGAGGTTCTGGAATAGAAAGATACGTAACACTGGTAGGATTGTTTTGCATTACTAATCTGTCTCAAAACCGAATTTGACGTCTCACTTGGCTGCAGTCACTAATAATTTTGGCTCACCATCGGAGTTCAGATGTTCTCCATAGTATCACCCGCATCAATCGCCATCAATTTGCAATCACAGATGACTTGACCAAACTTTGAATGCCATAGACACCATCTTGATGGTTAGCTGACCTAGTCTATACCTTAGTTCCCACTAGTTAATCATGTTATTTCCGGGACAATACGACAAAGAAACCTTCAACGTGAGAGTCTTTTTAGAGTTCCTTACGAAAAGGGTAAAACCTATTACTAAGAATTTGCAGTCTGTTTGTCTGTCTGTCTGTCTGTCACCAGACTGTATCTCATCAACCGTGATAATTTATTTAAATTTTCACAGATTATGTATTTCTTTTGCCGTGCTAAAATAGATGCTAAAATAGAATGCTAAAACAGAAAAAAAATTAAGTGGGGCTCCCATACAACAGACATGATTTTTTTTGCCCTTTTTATAGATACGTACGGAATCCTTCCTACGCGAGTCTAACTCGGGCTTGTCGGTTTTTTTTACCTAAAAGGCCACTGATGCTAGCTTAACTCCTTTGATATTGCGAACGCCTGGAATTATCTCATTACACCAGGTTAGCCCGCTAGTTTACAACATCGATAAAAATGCAAATAAAATTCGTCCGTATTTGAATAGTAGCGAGTAGATTAGCGAACGCCATGCATTTACAAATAGCGTTGCATCGCACCGGAGATTTAAAATTAAAAAATGTATTCAGTGCCTGTTAAAATAAAAAAGCATATGACAATATCTGCAAAAAATAATGAAATGAAACTAGGCGGGCATATTCTCAGTACGGTTCTTTCGTTTTCTGTCCGATTTCAGAGGGCACTACACGCCAAGAGTTATCGTGTGTAGGTAGATGTTTTGATTTCATCTCGGGGGTCACGTGACCACGTAGCGGGCAAAGCGACTCGATTATGCTTCGCCTGATCGTTACGTATCGACAACGGTTTTCCGGTCCGACGCCGCGTCGTGACGTCGCGCGGCTGTTTGCGTGAATGGCCGCAGCTCGTGTGTGTGCGCGCGTGTGTGGGTGTGTGCGCGCGCGATCGCTTTACAGCTGAAACCCAGGGCGCCTGCCGAAAAGTGCGGTCGACGACCCGGTCAGGAGCGCGTCTGTATAGCGCGACCAGTGCTTCTTGATTACATGTCTAACGTGCACTTCAAGGTTTCCCGATATAACCAAGTAGTTATTATAACATAAAAAGATATAAATTAAATAAACACATTGCATTTAAAATAAACTAAAACTAAGTGATTAAAGTTAATCCCAACAATTGATAATCTCTTCAATAAAACTATCAATAAAACACATTTACGAATGTAAATGTGTTGATTACTTAACAATTTATAAAAATATGTCATTATAAATGTACAAATTTAAAAATGGCGTAAATTCAAATACAAATCGGGATTCAACATTACACTCACTTGATTGTCAAAATACAGCCACCGGTTTGAAAAAGAAAACCTAAGAAGAACAGTCTAAAGGAACTCAGCGGGCCATTTTATTACCATTATTTGAAAGTGAGAACACGTTTATATAATATATTGTATTAAAGTTCAATTGAAAGATCCTGGAGCGATCAATTAATTTTCAGAGTGTTATAACACCCCAACATTTAATTAATCACCATTTATAAATTAAATAAAACACGAAATTTACTTGGCAATCGAAAATGTAACATGAAACGCAGAGTCAAATAGAACACCTAATACTATTTAATATTAAATAGAGAATAATTTTATACCAAAGGAGTGCTATAATTTTAAAACCTGCAACGGACGTCGCGTCGGAGCAAACTGGATATTATGTGCCAAGTATGCTCGGTCGGCGTACGGCGCGCGGTGATATATTTGGTGACATTGAACCGGGTCCATTGCCAACGACCTCACTCCTCGGGGAAGCTCGGCGGTTTGCGTAATCGCTCCTGCGTACGGAACCCCGTCGTACGCACACAAGCGCACCTCAGGGCTGCCAGACCTCTAACACGTCGCACCTTTGTCTTAAATAATACATTTGCAGTGAGGGGCGCGGTTAGTAGCTAGGCGATAGATTCGAAGCAACGATCTCTTTTAACTGGTTTTTCTTATTGGATTTTCTTGATTGAAATGTATATACATATTAATAAAAAAAAAAGGTTTTTGTAAAAGAATTAAAGTTAGAGTTAAATCTTTGATATAGATATTTTATAAATTATTAAATCAAAATGATTGAGATCTAACTCCCTTAACAATTTTATTTGTACTTCGATAACTCTATAAGAAAAAATAATTTCAATATAATGTAAATAAAAATCTTAACAGAAAGTAAGCAGAAAAAAAAATTCTTGCTTTTTACAGTAGATCGTGTATAATTTTTTCCAAAAAAATACTTGGCTAACATTGCTCTATCCCTACTTATCCTCGATCAAATGTACTATTGATTTTTCCTGCGAAATGGTCTATGCGGCGCCTGTGCTACGAGGCTACGCACGTCTACGCTCTAGAGCCAAGACACTAACATCAGAAAACTGCTCTTAAAGAACGTTGCATTTTTCCTCAACCGCCACTAAAGAAGCAATTAATTTGGGCCGCGCTCTACGTGGCGAGGGCGTCGCACGCCCATTCCATTTCAAGTACTTAAAAAACAATTCAAACCGTTGCCAAGTTTGCAATAGCGAAGTTGGTAATGTCAACAATTAGTAAATAATCATTAATGATGATTTTTTCTGTGTGTGGCCGAAGATAGTAGCAAAACACTTTATAACATTGTAAAACAAAACTATTTATAATTAACTATTTACTATTTACTTAATTCTGTTCGGAATTCCCGAAGTTTTGAACGTATTAAAGGATTAAAGGAATACATGAATAAATTATTAATAATAATTAATAATATAGAATTATTAATAATAATTATTATTAAATAATTATTTTATTAAAATTATTATTTTTATTTAATTCATAACATAACATATTTGGACATGTATTTAAAGAGTTAATTATGAAAAAGAAAGATTCTTTAAAAAAGATAAACTTTACTGACTCACTCTCGGTTGGTAAACGCGTCTCAGTTTTGTGTAACGAATAATGTTTAATTCTCCACAAAAGGCCATATAAGCACTGTGCATCATTCCAATATCAAGTTAGTGTTTGTTATACTCATTTCACACTTAAATTAAATTTTTATTGTTTTTACGATCCTTGATGTTTTTAAAAAAAAATTAATTGCAAATTGTTTATATTAATGCGAATGCAATAAAAATGTGTGGGTATAAAAGAAATATAATAGCTTTAATCTTGCTTATATGTGTACAATAATACACGTTTTTATTCCAATAAGACAATTTTATCATTGCAAAAAAGAAAATGACGATATTTATATCATGCTTTTAACTTTCAATTATATACAAGTTAAATATAAAATCGTTACTTAAAACTATTTCTGTATATGTAACAACAAAAAGTGTTTAAAGTCAATGTACAAAAGATATGCTAGTTCATACTACGTTCATATCATCAAATTTGATGCCAATGAACTCTTACCGCCGGAAGTAAAATTGCAACGTAATTTTCGTCATATCTATGTAGGTTTAATAACCTCTATAGGTGTAGATAGTGTTGTCAATTGTAATAGATAATGTTGTAACCACAAAAAAGTGATAGATAACGTATCAACTGAATAGTTTCTTAGCACTTTTATTCAAATTATAATAAACAAAAGTTTTTAAATATTGTGCAGTAAATTAGTAGAATAATAAATTTTAAAACATCTGAGTTGAGTAAGCTGTACGAAAACTTTACTGTGCAGCGATGAGGTCTAAAACAGGAAAGACGTCTATATTTATGTTTTATGTGTAATATCGTATTTGTGAACAAGCACATAAATGATGATAAATGACAACCGCTCGGCGTTCGAAGAAAGTCAAGGCTTTGCAGAGGGCACTACGGCAACAGCGGAGTGCACTCGCCTAGACGGAAACCACTTTCACTGTCGCCACCACTGTCCACGGTCGCCGAACGGACCGTTAACGCCCGCCGACAAACACTCGCGCAATCTAACGCGCGAATGTTTACCGTGCATCGGCCGCTACCGCCAAAAACTCTTCACAATGGTCGAGAAGCGCTGAATCGCCACCAGCGCTGGATGCACAGGCGTCGCGGCGGGCCAGTTGCGTCGCACGCGAAAACAGGAAAAGGTCAAAGACACGCGCATTGTCCCACACAGCGGGATGGGATCGGAGAGCGTTCGCAATTAAGAATGTGCGGAACCTGTTGAGAGTGACTCACGGCGAGCCGGGGCGCGGGCACGTGTGCGGTTGCGTTGCGTGGAGGGCAGGTCGTGTGAGGGTCCGATTCCCGGCGGAAGGGTCCCGGAGGAGCGGACCAGGCGGGGTGGCGCGGCACTGTGCCGGTCAGTCACCGCTCCGCCGGCGCGCCGTGCGCTCGCCCACCGCTGCGTTCGCTCGCATTGTTCCGTGTCAACCTCCCATGTTTATATGACGCCCTGGTATCTCGCGCGTATCCCGTATGAGCCCGCGTACACATAGTGCCCCGTGGATTCCCTCGGTGCCCCGTTGACGTTTATGTGCGACATAGTGGATAGTGAAGCGCGATTGAGGATTTTCAGTTCTGAGGATACGATTGGTGATGCTGTGATAGAAGCCACCTTCCTGAGGAGTCCAGGTCGATGTGAATTGATCCTTACTTATTGTACACGCCCAAAGTAATGTTTCTGCTTTTGTTTGATATGAAATTTTCTAAAAAAATATTTAACGCGTAACAAGCGAACTGCGTAGATTTTCTAAAAATAGCAATTTTCTTCAGGACTTTATACGTTTCGCCAATTGAAGCCTAACTAAATTCGCGAAAGTATAAATAGAAGTTTCGCTGATTTTCCACGAACCGCAGAATTCCTTGAAAGTTCGAACATTTATTGTCGTGATGAAAGAAAACAAAAGATGTTATGATCTATAAATACATATTAGGATCTGGGTACAATTAAGTCAAGAAAATTGTGCTTTAAAATATTTTTTTAATTTCTATTAAAATGTTCAGTTCTTTTTCGAAAATATTTTTCGAAAATAAAAACAGTTAGAGTCCAGGTTTAAGCAATATTATATAGTGAAATTTTATTGAAAAAAAAAAAATTATGTAAAATAAATGGTGTGTATTATTAAAGACTAAGTACATTATTTTATTATGTCGCTTTTTAATTGAGTTTTTGTTTAATCCTTCGATTTATAAAATAACGCAGACAATGTGTTGCTAAGGTTCATTTAATACGCCATAGTATGAACTCGAGAGTCGAGAAAATTCGTTAAGGCATTCGTTAAGCAGTCCTACTAGTTACCTTCTTGGATGTTTTTGCATGTTTTTCTAATCTTTTACTCAGTCAGAGGAATATTTCATATATTTAAGCTATTAAAGTACAAATATAATGTATTAATAAATGAGCTTCTAACACACCTATGTATAAATTGAATGTATGCTTATTCAATTTAATATATTAAGTATAGATCCGTGATAGCTCAGTGTCCGGGCGCTCGCCTTTAATTCAATATACTCGAGCAACCTGAGTTCGATCCCCGGTGCCGGCACCAATGAAGTTTTTAACTTTAAGTGCTGTCTTATCACGTGCTCCGCGGTGAAGGAAAACATCGTGAGGAAACCTGCATATTTTCGAAATAATAACAAAAAAAATATTTCGAAGATATGTGAAGTCCGCCAATCCGCAGTGGGGCCGCGTGGTGGACTATGCCCTGATACCCTCTATATAGAGGAGGCCTTTGCCCAGCAGTGGGACATGTATAGGCTGTTACTTTTACTTTTATATTAAGTGAAAAAAATAATAGAGGATTTTTTTAAAACATAAGGACTATTTTAATAATTACCGGTGATTGATGATTTTTCCGGTACATTTTGACTGATTTGCATTTGATATAAACATTGGTAACGTAATCAAATATTGGACATGTGAACTGCTTTCGTGCATTTACATTAATTGCATTATTCTTCGCCTGAAATACGGGTAGCCAGTGCATGTATGACTCACTGCTGAGCGAGAGCTCTGATAAGTTTTCGGATACATTTCACAACATGACGCAAGAAAAATTTAGAGACGTCGCAGTCTTGTTGAATTTTCAAACACGCAGTTTCTCCCTCAATACTTTTCCTCGATGCCCCTTCGTAGCCTATCCGATGTACCAACATAGCAATATGCACCGCACATGCTCTTAGACTCTTGCAAACCTAATCAGTTGGGCTACACTCATATTAACCGCATACTAGTGAAAGATATTCACTTAAATGCACTCGACAATTTCACTGGTGGCGTCGAGACTATTAGGTGCTAACTTGCAGCACTAAATAACGATAGCAAACGTAGCGAGAATTTACACTTTATACAGTAGTTTGTAGTTCTTTTGATGTCTTCAGTATCTGGAAGGAGATATTTTTGACATACAGATTCAAAGCGCATGCAATGTTGAGAGTGTTGTACTTTACATCATATTAGTTTATTTATCTTTTTCTTGTAAAAACTGCTTTAAGTTACATTGTTTAAATGAATACACGATAAATAGGATAGGGAATCGTTCAACTAACTAATCTGCCTGTATATCACATTCCTTTTTTGGGAAATGACATAAAATATTAACCCTGATTACAATTTATATGGTTATTCAAAATGTTAAAATTGGTCAGCAAGTTCAATGTGTGAATATTAAAATTCAGTAACATCATTGTTTTAGGTTTCGACGTTACGGTCATACATAAGTAGCTTTCGGTGACAAGTAAGAGTGCCGAATAGTTTCAATGCTTGCATACGATTCTATTATCTCGCATGTATATTATATGTATATCTATTTCATATGTATTATGTATTCTGCTTTATTAAGCGTCGGAGTGGCATTCGGCCATTTAGCGTAGGGTACTGCGCCTCGACGCGGAAAACTCGAGTTAAATTTCTGTGGCGGCGAAAAAAAAGACAATTTTAGTCCTTATTTATTTTTTATGAGTTAATCTTATTAACGCTGATTTCCTTTAGCCGACTTACTTTTTCTACTTATGACTATAAGACTTTTTATTAAAGACTACATTTTTGGTTTTATTTTCCGGGCGATCGTTAAGTCGTTAATAATTCAATATACTCGAGCAACTTTCGTTCAAATCAAATCAAATCAAAGAAACCTGCATATTTTGGAAACAATTAAAAAATATTTCGAATGTATGTGAAGTCTACCCAATCCGCACATGGGGTCACGTGATAGAACTAACACTATGTGCAGAGAAGGCCTTTGCACGGCAGTGTGTCATATATGGGCTGTCAGTTTACTTTTTTAATTCTGAAAAAAAGAAAACATTCTTGTAATATCAATTTGCTATGCTTTGTTCGAATTCCTATGCGTACCACCTATTACTTAGATTACATTTATTAAGAGTACATATTAATTCACCGGTGTGAATGCATTTAATACATCATTAACATTTATTTTTTATCTACTTTTTAGTATTAGAAAATTTACAATGAAAATATTAGCTGAAAATGGTTAATATTACATGATTATGCAACAAGTTGTTATAAAAGTTACCATTTTTTATCATCCTTATCGGGTTCAGTCTGCCTTACCACAATATTTAACTGTAATATTTTTACCCACAGCTACCGAAACACGTTCCCTTGGCCCCGTTCCCTGTCGAGATGAAGGAAAAAGGCTGAAAGGATAAAAGTGTGGTCAACAAATAAAAATGTAAGTCTTACGCCATTCTTAATTTTAATTTCGCACCGTGCGTAAAATAACGTTCTGTGGTCACATAGAACGAATTTAATTTTATCATCGGAAAGTTGACATTAGTTTTTTTTCGTCTGACTTATAGATATTGAGATTCAGAATAGAACAACGTTCTATCTGATTTATGTTCCGCAGTACAAGGACATATGGACGCTTAGACACTGTTTTTTTTGTACTAACTAGACTAAGCTTACTAATGTAATAGACGAGTGTAAAATACTCTATTAGAGACAATTGATAATTATTGCACAGTCACCCACTTTTTATGGTTTTTTCGTTGAAAACAGTGCTACATGCATTTGTATCATACATATTTTCTGAGTTTTTAGTAGAATAACGTTATAAATGAACGTGTGACCTATTATTTTTTGGAATGTTCCGTTGAACAACGTTATATAAACATGTTTATGTGATCTTGTGACCCATTAGTTCTTGCCATTTTCCGTAGGAAAACGTCACTACCTCTTATTTCCTAAATTTATATAATTATTAATTCAAAAACTATACTGTTTGTTAATATACCTTATTATATCACAAACCTCAAAAATTGTAATATGCTATGTATAAGAAAACTATATATAACCAAAATAAAAAAGTAATAATTTGAATCGGCCGTCCTGAACAATTTCAATTTTGCAGATGTCACGTTGTTCTACGTGCAGGGTCTATGTGGGGGGTGCGATTTTTACTCACCCTAGGCACTGCTTAGGATAACAATTTCATCGACCTCCTTTGTATAAATATTATTTATTTATCCAAATAAATTCTGTTTTTAACTTTACATAAAGTTTAGTTCGTGAATAAAGTTGTGAAGTAAAATAAATAAAAAGTTTGACCGCAAATAAATAAAGTGGTTTAAGCAAATATACAAAATTTAACCAATTAATGTTACGCAAATTCAAACCACCTAAATATATAAGTCCCGACATTATTACTCGAAATAAAAGTCACACGGATTGTCATCGCAAATTTGAAAGCGGCCAATATACCGCCTTTCGTCGTACATCTGTTATCGATCGCGTTCTCCGTGTCTTGTTTTCCACTTTTATTCAGGTAACGAGTGTAATGGCATGCAGTGGGTAAAGCTCCGCATCAACCGTAGGCCGTTACCCCGGAACCAACTTAAAAATAAGTCACTCATTCATGCCGATGTCTTACGCAGTCGGGCTCGCCGAAATTTCTCATGTGTCCACACATTTATGTGTCGGTGCCACGCGGGAAGCGGAAGGGTCGATATTGGCATTTGCTAATTGTTTACGCTGTGGACCATTCTAGTTTAACGCGCCGAAAATAACTTCCTTACATATTTCAAGCATAAACTATTTTCGTTTAGA